CTCACCCCGCCCGAATGTTGAGTGAATGTTGTGTTTTATGGATAATTTTCTTTTATTCACGATTTTTCTTTTTTTTTTTTTCTTTTTAAGTCTTGTCTTGCACTCCCTTCCCCTGATTGTTGTGAGCCGCCCTGAGTCCCCTCAGGGAAAAGGGCGGCATACAAATACTCAATAAATACAAATAAATACAAAATACAAATTTTGACATCACTGTGAAACCCAGACTTTTCTGGAGCTCCGGGATCACCACCAAGTTCAGGTCGCCTGGACAGTCCAATTGGACCTAAACTGTCCCATAGAGATGGTGATAGGTAGGGGTATATCCTGCTGATCCCAGAGACACCCGCAAAGTCTCTGGTGATCCAGGAAAAAAGCCCTTTTGCCGGGGACTATGAGTCAGCCATTAGGCTGCTGAAACAGTTGACAGCTCCGTAATGCAAGGACAGGAGAGAAGCATGTCATTTTGGTGAGAGTTTTAAACTATTTTTCTGTTGGAGAGAAATTTGGAGATTTTATTTAAAATAAAGACTAATGAGAGAGCAAGCAGTGGATTTAAGGCATGGTCAATTGAAGGTTTCCTTTTTTTTCCTTTGTACTGCCAGAAGCCTGATTGGACTTTCATTGTAATTTACTTTTTAAAGTGGACTGGTTCTTTGCACTTTTTCCCCTACCTTCTTTGGAAACATTGATACAATTAAGTTTGAATTGTCTAAAAATTTACCTCTTTTTACCTTTGCTTAATGAATTATTGTATTTTTCTTTTCTTGGCTTTCCTTTTTCCATTTTTTTTAAAAGTAAAAGGCGGAGTGTAAGAGACAAAGACTGAGAGTGGGAAACAAGTATTACTGCCACCTAGTGGATTTGAAACAATGTTTTTATTTTTGCATGAATGTTTTGAGAGAAGCTGGTTTTTTCCCCAAGGTTGTCTAGTTAAGGCTTGATAGTGAGAGGAACACGGTTGTTTATACAGGTGTCCCTTGTGAAACTTTCAATGTCTGGAAATCTACCTTGAAAGAATAAATAAAAATTTTAAGGGAAAGCCCAGAGTGGCCTTGGAAAGGCTTTCACCCTACAAAAGCTTTGAACTCCTTTTTTTCCCGGTGGCAGC